TTTACCATTATTATAAATGATCTAAATATTGATACGTGTGGAAAGCTTTGTTATGCGTTAGTTTACCACAAGTTAAGAAGAAGGACGCCTTAAATATTAAGAGTCATATAACAGATGAGGTTATATTAGTTTAAACTTTTAAGATCGGAAGAAGGCTAGTAGCTAGATCGGGAGTTTTAACTTCTTGTTACCATGTGTAAGCTTATTGTAAGCATAAATTTAAAATAAAATCGTTCCCAATTATTCTTAGTTTTAAATCACTGAAAGCTCATTTTATCTCTGAAAGAGCTGATATCCCAACAGAGGACAGAATAGTCTACTAAATGACAGGCTGTTTGGTTATTTATACAACAATCTATCTTCATTCCTGGCGTTAAAAAAATATTTTCATACAAACCTCGTCAGCTGAAAGTTCACTCATGGCGACAAGAAACACTTCGTTTTGTAATAATATAACCTTTCAGATTGTTCAAATACCCGTAGAACCAGCTCTACAGCAATRAAGAAGTATTGACTTAGCTAGAATTCAATAAACCATGTCTTATCTTAAGTCTAAAGTATTTTTTCGGAGCGGGTTTTTGTCATAAACACAGCAATGTTGTGACCGCCATTATTGATCTTTTCTGTTGTGTCATAGTCGTTCCCGTGATGCATTGATGCGCGTGCTGCTACCCATGAGCCTTTGAATAGAAAAATGGACAAATGGATGAACGAACACAAATTATGGAAGAGACTGGTCATTTGTTATCAGAGGAGAAAGAGTGGGTGAGAAGATAAGGAGGAACTAAATTTCTTGCCAATCACTTTACTAAAGCAAATACGTAATGATGACAAGGTTAATTAAAGGAAATAACAGAGAGTTGAGAAGTCGATTGCACCCATTATTTTATTTTATTTTATTTGCTTTGTTTTTTCGAAATATTTGGTGGTCGTACTTTATGAAATGCGTTATGACATGCCCGGCAGCCAGTGATATTCTTTAAGAAAAACTTGTTTGTCTTTCGTCGGCACAGAATACGAACGACTCGTTTCGTAGCATTATGTCGTCTTTTCTCGGTACAGAATATGAATCAGACTCTGCGTGGCACTTCGAAAAACAAATTAATTTTTCGTGTTTGCATTTCCTCTCTTTCTTTCTTTCTTTCTTCCTTCCTTTCTTTCTTTCTTTCTTCCTTTCTTTCTTTCTTCCTTCTCTCTCCACTCCCCGTGTTGCATGTAGGGTATTTTCAAGTCACGTGCTCTGAGCGTCATCTTTCTTCACAGGACGCCATTTTCTTTCGAGCATCGTGTTCTACAAGGATTCAGTGCTTTTACTTAGACTTTTTGTCCCTTAAAACCATGAGTCGTGATCGAGGAAATCGTGTTTTTGTTGGTCGACTACCACCCCGTATTGAAGAGAGAGAATTAGAGCGCTTTTTCCGTGGTTTTGGGCGAATTCGTGACATAAATTTGAAAACGGGTTTTGCTTTCGTGGTAAGTTTGCTGGAGCGGAGGTCGAAAATCTCTAAAACATCTAGCCTTGCTTGATAATTCTCTCAGTTTACAAGCTCAGCTATAGATTAAATCCTTGCTTTACTGTGTCATATTCATGTTTTCCTTTTTTTTAAAAGCTTAAGAAGGCGTGAAACTTGCTTTTTCATTGCGTTCTTCGACTTCGGGCGTCTTTCATTCAAGCATCTTCTCACATCTTCTTTAGGAGTATTAAAAACCTCTTTTATTTTTGATAGGAATTTGAAGACGAACGAGATGCAGAAGATGCTGTTTATGAATTAAATCACAAAGAACTTAAAGGAGAAAGGTAAATTTAAGCTTACTATAGTAAATTTTTTTATTGGTTAAATGTATGAGATGGAGGAAGCTTCATTAAAATTCTATGACATTTTAATATAAAAATTCGCTTAAAAACTTGCTATATTCTAATTAACAATAAAAGTTTCTTATTCCTATTTCTTAACTCCAGTTTTTTTATTTAGTACCATTACATAGTATGCAATAATTTTTTCAATAAATTGTCCCTCATTTCAATTTTCGCCCGCCGTCTTGGCAAAGGGTCTATTATTTTGACTACTATAATGTTTGTCTTATCCAGAGTTACAGTAGAACATGCTCATCCAAGTAGAGGTGGTGGAGGAGGAGGAGGCGGTGGTGGTGGTTATAATAGAAGTGAATCAAGAAGAAGTAGTTACGGGTAAGTTGAAATCACCTTCAAATGTATTCATGGAGTTAYGTCATAGCTGCCAAGTTGTTTGACGATATCAAAGCATTCCTCATTAACTTTTCTTGTTAGATCAACCAACATGGTGGCTGTTTGATTGGTATCCTCCTAATCCTTGGGTGCATGTTACATCATAGCTGCCATGTTGTTTTACGATATCAAAGCATTCCTCGTTAACTTTTCTTGTTAGATCAACCAACATCATGGCTGTTTTATTATTTTTATCTCATGAGTCATGTGGTTTTACCCCAAGAAAAGAACTCGTAATATATGCATGGAATATCGCATGGCTTGCCTTTAAATTGTGTAACTAGAAGTTATATATTTTCGAACTTTATGGATATCCTAAAACAACCTGTGGGCTGATCAAAGTTGCGGGCGAGACCAAACAAACTCTACTCATATATGATGCCCAGTTCAGAATTCAAACTTGATACCCATATCATACAGTATAAGGCATTGGGTTGCATTAAGATGTCTCCCAGAACTTGGGTTCCTGTTGTATATCACAGCAGTACTAAATGATTCTTTTAAATTGAATTGTAGGCGATTTACCCAACCCTACAATACCCAATGGAAAGTCACAGTAGAGAACCTGTCTACAAGAGCAGGATGGCAGGTAAGATCCTCAGAGTCTCGATATATTATCATTCAACCTAGGGAACACCTACAAAGTGTGTTTCAAAGACCTCTAGTTTCCTACTGCCTTTACATTATGTTTATCAAACCTAGACTTTTTTAAACACATTCTTCAATCTGTATTTCAATTTTGTTTTCAGCCAGAATTGTCTTTTTTTTATACATGCAAGGGCTCAAACTTAGCACTCATCTCGCTAGTTAGGATGGCAGTCACATTGAATGGTCAAATGTTGATCAGTGCAATGCAGCCAGTAATTATTTCAGGCCACTAAGCCTCTGCACGATTTCCAAAAGCGCACAGAAAAGATCTTGGGAATTTGTCAAAAAAAATTAAAAATTACTAAAATTACTACCTGTAGGTATACTGTTGATAAACAAAGGAGTCTGCTAAGTTAATAGCATTTTAAGGTTTTAGATTTAGATTACCAAAGCCCTTTGATAAGATTTTTTTCCAGAAAAATTAGAGATGAAACTTTGTTTAATATTTATGATGAAAAGTACGTGCAATTTATAACGTTTATAGATTATCTAAGCTGACTGTATCCCCCTTTATATTGCTCTGTAGTATCATAGTTAAGACTTTGGTAAAATGGTTTGGTTGGTACCGAGATCTCAGGAATGGGCATGCTTGCTAATCTGCTAAAGAGATTTCTGGCTAGTGCTCTTTGACTTTTCTCTGGTGCTTCAACTTGATCTGGTTTGGCCACTTGGTATCCCATTTGGTTTGTCTTGGTCACCATGTTGCTGCATGGTGTCTTCCTGGTCAATTCCCTGGGGGTTTCCCATTCCAAAACTAATAGAATAGCTATGCATATCAAGGAATGGTGGTAGTGAGATAGGTGGTGGTCCTGTCAAGGTACAGGCTGGTTAAGGCACTCTTGCATTGAACTGTACTCCCCTGGCCAATAGAACTTTGGGCAAATTTAATGGCAAAATTTGGTAGTGGTAACAAAGTGTAACTTGGACTATTTTTTATAATGCCAGGTAAGAGTAAAAGGTGTAAGTCCAGGATTTAGTCAATGCTTGCTCTCAGGATGATATTTTTTGAATTAATTGATGCATTAAAAWTTTTGAATTATTTATAATTCCCTTTCTACACTTCTGGTTCGAACAAACAAAAATATTATTAAATACTCTTTCATTTATACCTGATTTTACTTTTGAATGACTATATTTCTCACATATTTAAGATGCTTTAAAATATTGTTTACAAGCTGTATGATTTATTGTCCAGTCTATAGTTTGTTTTTCAGGCTTTTGCATTATCAATAATAATGTTTTATTTGTTAGAGTAGGCTAATTATTTTTGGCATTTTTTACTGAAGTGGGCCTTCTTTCACTTAATACAACTACAGTTACTATTTTATGCACACAACTCAACTCACATTTTGATTCTTATGGAGGGAGGGGAACCTGGAGAAAGACCCTTACGGCAAGGGAAAGAACAACACATCAAACAAACTCAATTCACATGTAGCATAGGGCTCGAACCAGCAACCCGACCAATCCATTGGACTCGCAGCAGTGAAAGATGATGCATGAGTAGTGTACTCTACTCATGCTACTCATAAACTACATAAATAATAATATGTTTCAAGTATCAATTGTTTGGAGTCTATTTAGTCTAAAATTGTACTGCGGTGAAATTCATTTCTCATCCTTTGCCATTACAGGATCTTAAAGACTTCATGCGTCAGGCAGGAGACGTCACCTTCACTCAATGCCACAAGGACAGAATTGGTGAAGGGTAAGTGAGTCTTGGGTTTTATTATACAACTGTGATATCTAATGAGTAGGGGTCTTGAAAAACATTTTAAACAAAAAATTTTGCAATAACTTAATAAATTTCTCATGCACTGATTGGTTATTTTTATCATCAATAAGAGGACGGACAGATAAAGCCGACGTCAATGAGCATGCGCTCTTTCCGTTGGTTGTTTTGGTCACACATTGTTTTTGTTATTGTAGAAAAAAACAAATAGACATGAGTTTTTTATGTGTCTGTCCTCTGCTTATTGTCGATAAATTTCATCATCACATTGTCAAAGTAGTATGCAGATCCATTTGACTACGCTTCGTGGATCCACACTACTTTGACAATGTGGACAGGACAGACTGATGTCTATTTGTTAATTAGAAACGAAAGTCTTGGACGACCTCACAAGATCATTCTCAACCAAATTTATTGTAGATTACTCAGTGTTTACATAGAGAAGAGGGTAATTGTGCACATATTTAACCTCTTCTCTATGTAAACGTTGAGTAACTGCACTGTGTTTCTTATATTGCATGTTTTTATTCTTTCCTTGCAGTGCGGTTGACTTTGCCTCAGAGAGTGACATGAGGCGTGCYATCAAGAAACTTGATGGATCTGAATTATTGGGTAAAAGGATTCGAATCATAGAGGTAAATAAATACTTTGTTATCTAAAATATAAATAAACTTTAAACAGATTAAAATTACATTTATATATTGTTTATATCTTTAATTTATAGAATACAAGATCTGGTAGATCATCCAGACGATCTAGATCAAAATCTAGATCCGTTTCTCCTTTCCGCAAAAGAAAGTAAGTAATACGTCTGTCATTCATTTTGAAGTGACAACCAAATGAAATTTTATTTTGTGGCGGATTTAGGGGGGATTCATTGGGTGCAAATGAACCCCCACCCCCACCGGCTTGTACCTTGGATTTTTTATATATTTTTTAAATGAATAAATAAATGGAATTTACTAACTCATGAGTTTTAATATGAAATGAGACTGGTGGAAAGGTTATCCTTATCAGGAGCGCCCCTAGGCCAGTGATGTGCGTCATAGAAAAAATGATGATGCAAGAGAAMGTTATTGTTGTGCCGAGATTTGCAAAAATGAACCCCCCTCTTAAAGTCCTTGATCCGCCACTGTTATTTACGCATTTTTGTGCTTTTTCAGCTTCGATCGCTCCAGATCACGCTCTCCTCGTCGCTCCCTTTCACCTCGTAGGTCTCCATCACCAGGTGTCAGCCGTCGACGCTCACTATCTCCTCGCCGAGATGACTTGGGCCAGTAAATCCATGGCTTAACCAACACATGTTTCAGTATTATGCTAGTCATTAGGTGGAAAATACTACCAATAACCCGTTTCTCTTGTCTAGGGTTTATTTTATGGAAGTAGCACAAAAAATCTTGGATTCTGTTCTTATTTCATCATTCAACTTTAAGAGAAAAATCTGAAAAACGGATGACCTGTTAATGAAATTTGGCTTAGGTACTGTGACTATCCTCGAGCTGTGACCAGAATTTCTTGGTCACGATTTTTCCGCGTATCTATAGCATTAGTTTTTATGATCAAAATATTGAGTATTGACACAAATATATGTAATCTTTTTTCGTTTATTATTATTCCTATTTTTAAGCAGTTGAAACGAAGTAAGCAAAAGACGAACATCTTTTTTCCGAAATATAATCATTATGAATTTCTTGGGATTCTGTCTATTTGTTGTCCTGTAATTTTTAGTTACTTAGTTGTCAGATTTTGACCTCGTTATATTTGACAATATTAAAATTTCCAAACTTCTTTGCATGTTGCACCCTCGTATACGTATCGCGATCTTGTTCTAGCGTTGCCGCGGTCTTTGCAAGACGTAAAATTGAATTTTACTTTTTGTAGCAATTTCAAGATGATGCTAAGGCAAGAGAAAATAAACTATACTTCATTTCCTCTTGCCTAATGCCTATCCTTGCAATGAAATATTATGCCCGCTAGTAATAGTTTAATTGTAAATAATTTAGACCAGAGCAAAATCTTAGTTTCAATGTTTTCCAGGAAATAAAAGGTCATTTAAATGACAAATAGAATGTTCGCAAGTTTGAGCAAACATTTCGCTATTTTGGGTAAACAGTTTTTCGTTTACATAAACTACAATTCAAGAGCTTTAGCAGAAAGCGAAAAGAAGTCCAAAAAATAACGATTTGACTACGTGGGACTTGTATACTGGACAAATCCAGGTAGGGACAAGACTTGTGATATCGTTCAAATGTATCGACCATAAATAGACTTGCTATCCACTGAGCGCACAAGAGCCGGTAAATGCTGAAATAAATTTCATCACTTCTTGATTTAATGCCGGTTCTACAAATAATATCGAAACACAAGAAATTACGTAATATCTAGACATTTTCTTGCTATCGACATTTTAGATTTACCAGCGAATTAGAATGTATTTACATAATTAATTTTATATGTACTTAACATAATGTTAGACCTCTAGATAGTTCTTTGATACGTTTAAATTTGTAACACTGTACCTTATTTTTATAATATACAGTGAACTTTTTTTCTTGCAGCTGGTAGGTGACAAATTTCATTCTGACCCTCCTCTCCCTCAATCAGGCCCATTTTGTTTGGTCTGGATAAGTTTTGAAGGAATAAATGAAAAGCGATCAGCATTTGGTAGTTAGGACAAAAATCAATCACACCCTCCCGTCCCTCGCACTTTAGCGAAATTACACAAATCTCACAAAAGGGGAGGGGGGTGCTCCATGGAAATCACGGAACCACCCCACCATCCTGGATCCGCCACTGGTGTAAATGATTTTCGTGTCGCTTCATCTTGTAAAAACATCTATTCATCAGTTTTCCATATGTGATTACTAGGTAACTAAGCTGCACCATTTATAAATTCATTAACTCCCGACCTCTTAATGAGCTCATACGGTTTTCCTATTTCTTGTGTAACTCAGCATCAGGCCGGCTTCTCAATAGCACGCAAGGAATAGTCGTCGTGACCAAGCAAGGTTTGGGTTGGAATGAAAGCGTTTCCATAACGTTTCCTTTGAAAATTTTATATCGTCCGACAATGACTTCGAATAAAGTCAACCAAAACCTTTTTTGTGGCAACAGCAAATTCAGTATGAGTGCAGTCCAAGATCTCATACCCAGAACCCACGTTCCTCTTGGTCAGCACGAACCGTTGCTGATGAAGAGAAACTGCGGGGTCAAGGCACAGCCAATCACTCATTGGTGTTCTTTTGCAGGTAAAACGATGAGTTACCTCAAAGTAAAAAGTGGATACCTCGAATTCAGCGGTATAAAACTTGAAGAAAGTGACGTAGACAGAGAGGAAGTCTGCGGCGAGCGACTCCACCAACTCATGACGATGCAAAACATCCTTGACAATCTACCGCTGACACAAAACACCGTGGATTCACAATCCCAATCAACACTTCCACCATCCGTCCCATCAAGCAAAGCCACCCGCTTTGGCGTTCTCTCTAAATCTTGGAACTTTCCCAATTTAGAGTTCCCTCGACAAATGTGTCGTTCGGCTGATTTTTACGAAACGAGGTTCAGAAAACCTACCCGATACGCCTCTGTGCCGGATCTTCCCCAAATGTCGAAAAGCGAAGAAGTAAAGCTTCCGTTAACTTTGAAACTCTCGAAGAAAAATTCAGCTCAGTTGAAAGATGATTTTTTTATTCAAGGACGAAACCTTCTTCCTTCTGTAGGAAAAAACGAAAAAGAACAAGACGAATTGAATCGATGCACTTCGAGGTCCTCTCACGTTCAAGCTCCTGCGTCAACGGTTTATGCGCATGCGTCTTCTAGACGTGTTCACATGACAAGCAACAACTTGGTAAAGCTGAGCAAAGAAGGAGAACAAAATGATTTTGAGGTGGAATTTCCTTTAACTGCCAGGCAATGCTTTCCAACCACGGGAAGAAACGATGAAAAAAACTCAGCTGAAAAAAATACGAAGAATAAAATCCAACCAATGGAAAGGAAGCTTAATTCGAAGTTTAACAAGTACGTTCAATGTCGGTTTGGCAGGAGCCTGGGAACTAGAATTAAGGAGCCTTCGAAATCACCTGCGCAGACTGGAGACGGGGGGAAACAAAGTAGGAAAGTTCAGAAAAGGATTGGAATCGAAACAGATGTTGTTGAAAATGTCGTGGAGGGAATCCTGGGAAGTCGGGAAAAGGATGATGGGMATGATCATGTGACTGGAGAGCAAAGAATGGTTGAGTTTTTGTCGTGTTCTGGTCTTGACCTTCTAAATCCTGTGAACTCAGCCTTGAGTGATTGACTCAACGCTGAGTCATACCCAAGCAAGTATGGGCCATTAGCGGCTTTGTTTCCTTATGGTGAGGACACCTATTAGCCATTCTGAGGCTGACAAAAAATATGGATCGCTTTGACCCATTCGACACAGTTTTTTCCTCAATCTCGGAATGGCTGGTAGGTCGTTTGTGAGTCATGCACTTCCAAGAGCGTAAAATCCGACAAAGACCTAACATGGCGGCCATGTTGGATGGTCATGATGACGCTATAATAACGTCTGATACCCAAGCTTTGAGGATTAAAGGATTTTTACAAGTCGATTCTGATGCTATAATGATTGAGATATGAGTTTATTCAGGCTTTTATTTTGCTACTAAGAATAATGATAAAATAAAATATGCATTATACACCTTGAATTGTAAAATATATACTGATAAATAGAAAGCAAAATAGAATGAAATAAACATAATCGATCAAGTAAAAGAGGAAGAAGAAGAAGAAGTCAATAACAAGAAGAAGATCCAAAATTACTTACATGCAAAATTGTAATCCCTTTTATAAAACAACTGTTATGAATGTCGCGTTCTGATTGACTTGGAGCGCGTGCTTTATGAGAGCACATTGCAAGCAAGCGCACTTTCCGTTGCGTTATTCCTATCTAAAATAACGGTTATTGTAATTTGTATTTCATAAAAGAAATAAAAAACTTGAYTACCGTGCTGTGTGCCGTTATAAAGCACTTGGGGATTGGCAGAATACTCAAGAAGTGTCCAGAAGCATTCCGCTACGYGTCGTGCTTCTCCTAACACTTCTCTCGTGTTCTGCTAACCCCCGCTTGCTTCATGACTGCACACAGCACGCGCGCGCGTTTTCTATTTCTTCATTATTGCGTTACTTGAAGCCTATATATTGTGATTGGGATAACCTACACTATTATGTCATGTAAGTCCTTTCATTGCTATCGTCCGCCAGGTGTATCTTTTAATGGAACCAAAAATAGAATCATCATTAAGAACTTAGTACCTGAAATCTTTAGTGACGTAAAACAACGTCTGTGTCACGATTGATATAGCGTAACAACAAMAACAGCRCAAAGTGCCTAATTGTCTAGCCATAACATTTTTGGTATCATTAATTGGCACTTGATAAAATTTCTTGTTTAAGTCTGCTGTTAGCAAACAACAAATAATCTAGTGCATTTTACTYAACTATCTGTCGACTAAATGAATGAAAAATGACAGTGTTAATCATGTTAATGCATATCGGATTTTAAAAGCAGATGGAGGTTTTTGAAGAAAATTTGTAAGCCAGGTTTTTTTCGAGGATGTTTACGTAGCGATCTGTAAATGTATAATTTACAACAAAAAGACGTAAAAATAAGAAAAGAAAAAATTATAAGCCAGGTCATTACAAATACATGTGACTATTTACTATAGCTACCTAACTGATAAACTGAAAATGAAAATTCAAAATAACGAAGCTGACTCAGCATTTGACCTGGTATCAATTAATTCTGAAGAACAAAGCTAAACTTGTTTAATTTCCAAGCTACTGAGAAGGGTCGACGGACACAAATTAATTGCAATTTGCGAGATGTATTTTTCATGGTTAGGTTTA